CATTAACTCAACAGTGTCTACATGAACCACCTGGAGACATTGAGTATAGTCTTTGAGTTATGCAACCATCTTCACCCTCCCCTTCAGAGTTAGTTATTTCTCCTCCATTAACATAAACTCACTGCTCACAAAGCCTCCTACCTCCTCTGTCAGTGTAATCCCAGAGAGACAGTTATTAAAAGAGCACCATGCTCCAGGTATATATATATATATCTTCTTCTTTTTACTAGTTAAGCTAAAATGATTTTAGGAAGGCTTCAGAGAATATTTTTGTTTTACAGTTTAAAGATGCTCTCAGGGAAATAGTTGCTGGATTTCATCCATCTTTCATGGAGTGTATGAATATTTGAAATTCTGGGTTTCCCTGTGACTTCACACTTTAAACCTTGGCTAATCCCTGTAAACAGGAGTTAAAATACAGACACCGAGTCTGGAGGAAAATGTGCTTTTTTAATTTCTGTGAGGGGTTTTTAAAAAGTCATTGGAAAAATTATAGAATTATAGAATTTCCAAAAATTTCTTTTAAAGCTCTCTGATATTTACAGCGAATGATGTTACTTTCTATTTATAGTAGTCATATAAGATTTCCTTAGAAATAAATGTAAGTAAAAATAAGGATTCACTTTAAAGAAAACTATTATGAAGCTAATATGCACTTAGCTGATATATAGAGAGGTAAAGCAAAACTCATGATGGTGTCCTGCTAGAACTGAACTTAGGGAAGCACTACTTTAAGGCAAAATAAGTCATGCCAGGGATTTTAGTCCATGTACGAAGCCTTCTAGGGGTTTATGGCTTTCTCAACAACCTATAATTGCCATGTAGTGTATATACCAGAAAGGAGCCAGGTGGCACAGTGGTTATGCATGGGGTGGCTAACTGCAAGGTCAGCAGTTTGAAACCAGTAGCCGCTCTTTAGGAGAAAGCTGAAGCTTTCTACTCTCACCCAATGCATAATCCACTTTGTTGATTATGTTTTACTTTGCTGCACAGGGGCAGTTCTACTTTGTTGCACAGGGTCGCCATGAGCTGAATTCACTATTGCACGAGTTTGGCTTGTTTTGCTTTTGTATGCACCAAGAAGCCCTCAGAGAATAGCTTCATTCCTGTTGTCTTTCTAATTGGTTTGACCTGGATAAGTGACTTCTCTATTTTAGACTTTGGTTTCTCCATCTGTGAAGTGAAGCATCTGGATCCGATAAGTTTAAAGATCTCTGATTCTGTGACGCCATTAAATGAATCAGCCACAAAGGAAATGGCTTTCATTGTTCCTTGACTAAAATTATGACACTATTGTTGCAAGCTACAGATAAATTCCTAAGGAAACCATAATTCTTAGCTCTGGAGTAAGGGTAGAAGGGATGCAGACAATAAAAACCCTAAACTGGGAATAACTGTGGACTCAGCATCTCTGTACTGGGAAATGCCAATGGTTACAGCTGAAGTCCACAGCAGGGGACCCTTATGAACAAACAATGTTTAGAGTAAGTGTCCCAGAGGCATGTGAAACAGCAGTCTGCCTAAGGCTGTTCCAGAGAGGAACAGTGATGTATTAAAGCCTAAAGGGCTTTACTTAATAAAGGTTATATACTCTTACATACTTAAGAGTCAATCAGTCATAACAACATGCGTATTAACACACTGGAGAGTTTGGGGTAGGGGAGTAACACAGTTGAAGGCCGTGAAGTTGAGGGTTGGCGTCTCTGGAAGTCACATCAAGAAGTTCTGCTCCCACCATCCAGAGTGACTGAGCATGGTGGAGGGCTTGAGGAGTAGACCCCAGTATGTCAAGAATCCCAGCAGACCCCCAAATTATCTTCAGGTGGCATTTTTTCTGAGTGCTTGGTCCAGCACTCACAGAAGGTGGGGCAGGCTGATTCCACAAATAAGAACAATGATGGCTTTCAGAAAGAGAGCTAGGCAAAGGTTAGAGATTCCAAAGGAGTTATGGTGTAAAGGCATGAAGTGGTGTGCATGTAGCCGCCAAGAGGTAACTTTCAAAGCCACGTTTTCAATGGCATGATGCAGCCCACACAAAACTCACCTGAGCCTGAATTCTGCACTTAGCTGGACAGATGTTACTTAAGGTAATTTTGAATAACTTCTTGTTATTAGCCTCTTTATTAAGGGATATACTTTGCAAATTGCAGCATAGATTGAACAAACATCAACATATTGTGATCTTGTATGAAAATTTCCCATGGCGCTTTAAAGTAAAGACCTGAGAAGTCAAAGTGTTTGGTGTTTTCTGTTGGAACCCTGGCCCTGGAGGCAACCATTGCTTACCCTGGACTTTTGAGCTTCTCTGAGGAGAAGCGTTCTAGGCAGCGAGAACTCACAGAGGTGGGCAGGGCTGGCTGGGGTCAGGCCCCAAGTTCCGATGCTGGATGGATCTCTGGGTTGTTTTTCTGTTTCTGAAAGAGCCTGCCTTTGCTCATCCCACAGGTGTGAGGCGATTAAAATGGGTGGGTGTGATTATTTGAATGAGGTCATGGTAGATGGTTTCAATTTTCTGTCTTGGTGACAAAATTCCTAAAACTAATAGGAATGTGACTCACCCTCCATATTTAATGTAGATGATGACTACTTTTGAAGGTTAGATCATTATTGTGATTATTTCTTGGTAGAAATGGTGGTGGCAGGTGTGGCGGCGGATGCGTGGTGGTGGTATATTTATTAACAAAGTGTGACATTTTTGCAGAATCCACTATTTGCAGTGTGAAAGGTGACACTCTCCGAGAGAGAAAGCATGAGGCATGAAGAAGTTAAGCTAGGGATAGGAGGGGAAGGAAGGAAAGAGGGAAGAAGTTTCTGGAGGTAAACAATTGAGTTTGGTATCTTTGGAACCAAAGTGTTTTCACACTGGAGGATGGCTTTCTTTATTCTTTTTAATCAAATAGATGCTCCATTCTCTTTACTGAGTAGTCCACTGTAGTCAGAAAAAGGCTCCGGGCTATCTCGACGTGCCCAGCATGCCCTGACACATGGGACAAGAAGGTCCTTTCATTTTCTGCATGTCTATAGGTGTACTTTCATGGAGGTGAGCAACATCCAGTCTACTGTTTAGTCTAGGAAAGTGGCCTCGGTTACAAGTTTATTTATTTATTTTGTATACTTATATCTTATTTTAAATTTCAATGATAGTTCTTTTAAAAAGTGATTGTTCATTTATACAATGCATTGATTATTAAGTTTAAAGAGAGTCTTTAATGCCGTGGGAAGATTCTTATAATATGTACCAAAATTTGGGAATAATATTCAAGGAACACTGGTGTTCTAAAGAGTTGTTAACCACAAGGTCAGCAGTTCAAACCCACCAGCCACTGCTTGGGAGAAAAACAAGGCTTTCTGTTCCTATAAGGATTCACAGCCTCGGGAACTCACAGAAGCATTCTATCCTGTCTTACAGGGTTGTTATGAGTTGTAACTGATTTGATGACACTGCGTTTGGTTTGAGTTATGCACACACACACACAAGCAGACTTCAGATAGTGTGTAGAAAATGGAATTAAAAAGATATGAAATAGTTTTCATGAACTTTTTGGATCCCATTTGTATTTTCAACAATGTAAAAATAAATAATAAATAGATAACTCACTGGAGTGAAATACCCTAGAATGTTCACCATGACTATTTATAGGTCGCAAGGTGTAAGCTGGCTTTTATTTTCTACTTAAAAATGTCCAGAAAAATATGTGTTAATTCTATAAACAGGAAAAAAGGAAGCTTTAATATACAATCAGTCGTCCCTTAGAGAGCTGGAACCGGCTGATTATTTGCACTTGGCTCAGTGAAAGCTAAGTTATGGCTCCTATTTATGTGCCATTGCCCATGAATCATCCTGATGTCACTTGGTGACTGCAATTTCCACCTACTGCTACTGCTATTATCATCAAATGACAATTTATCTATCGCTTCATGCTTGTGGATCACTAGGCATCGAGCTGGAGTTATTTAAAAAGCCAACTCCTCACTGACTTGCATGAACTCTAAGTCAGTGTTACAAACACCTCTATGAAGCATAACTGGAATGATATTTATTACAGAGAGCAAATGTTAGAAAGTACTTATGCCAAAGTAGCTATGGCAATCATAAGTCCCAACTCTCATAATCTCATCTATTCCAGTTATTTGTATAGCTAGTTTTTCATTTTGTAAGAATTTTTATATGATAAAATAAAAAACCCCAGCACAATTCTGGTATTTCTTCTCAACTGAAAACAATAACAACAACTCATTGCCATCAAATTGATGCTGATGCATAGTAATCCTATAGGACAGATCGAACTGCCCTTTCAGTTTCTGAGACTTTAAATCTTCATGGAAGTGGATAGCCTCCTCTTTCTCCCATGAAGCCATTGGTGAGCTCAAACCACTGACCCTGTGGTTAGCAGTTCAGTGGGTAGCCCACTAGGATTCCAGTGGTTTATAAATTCTGCAGAATAGTATTATGAAGTAAAAAGAGTTTTTTATGTTTCAGTTAATTTGAAGAATGCTGAATAAAAGTTACCATATATACTCGTGTATAAGCTGAGTTTCTCAGCACATTTTAATGCAGTTTTTGTGGTAATATTAGGTGCCTCTGCTGATATTCGAGTTGGCTAATACTCGAGTATGTATGGTAAATAGCTCTTTAAGTAGGACTTCTAGAAGTCTTGCTATGGGCTTAAGTATGGAATCTTTTAAAAAGGATAGGATGTTAGGTGTCTCCCAAACCTATTTGACCAGAGTACCTTTTCACTGAGCAGCTCAGTGGGTACAGCTAAGAAATGCATCCCTTAGTAAGACACCACTTGGATTCTTTACGTAGATCAAGAAGGGTGAGAAATGAAGAATTTCCATCTTAATCACATTCCAAGGCTAAGGAGAAAATCTTGGGTGTTGGTATTTTATCATCTCATAGAAGATATTGATAATAATAATAAAAAAGATATGAGCATTGCTACTAAAAGGACAATTTTGGTCTGAGTCAGTAAAGGAAACTCACCTCCCATAGTGTCCTCTCCAAATAAATTTAATTGGTCATCACCCTGTTTAAAAAAAATCACATTGTTAGATGATACTTATAATGGCTAGCAGGTATCAAACTAAACTCTTTGCCTACAGTAACATGTTTAATCTTTTTACAGACGAAGAAGATCAGAAATAGAGGTAAATTGCCCATGATCATGTGTAGTGAGGGATGGAACCCAGGTTTAAACTTGGGCTGTCAGACTCCACAATCCATTTTCTTCTTAGCCCTGCACTTTCTGTTGCTCATCTATTTGTGGACACAGACGCTGACTTCAAGGAGCCAAAAGGCAGTTAGCAGCCCTTCCCATAACCACTCTGCACCAGGGCTCTTGTAGGATGGAATAGAGCTGCTTAAATCCACCCCTGGGGATTGTTTTTTAGGCAAACAGTAGCTATATTGATAAAATGAACAATCATACTGAATAGGTGTTATTAAAATATCAGCATAAACACCAAACAGGTAACATTTGGCCAAAAGCAATGTTCAGAAGGCAGGAAAGGTCAGGGAAACAGGACTAATGGAAAGGGGGAATCCAAGGAGGGCATGGGAGGAGTGTTCATCCATTGAGGGTTTGCAACTAATGCCACAAAACAAAATGTGTATAAATTGTTGAGTGGAAAATTTACTTGCTCTATAAACTTCCACATAAACCACAATAAAATGTTAAAAAAAGACAAGCAGACAGCAGCCAAATTGGGGCCACTGGCTGCAGTTTGCCAAACTATGAAGAAAGGCATGGGATAATGGATGTTGAAGTGATTCACTTTGATGCCTGCCTTTCAATTTTTCATTTCATTTTATAATCAAATAGATGTTCCATTTTCTTTACAGAGTAGCTCATGGTGGTTGGAAAGATTATGAAGTTATGAAAAAGTATCTGGTTAAGAATTGTCATTCCTACGTATGTTTCCATTCATCCCGTTTCCCCACCCTCTCACTTCCTACAGGTAACTACTCAACGAAGTTTCTTGTCAATCTGTAAAAACACAAACAAACCCAAAAACCACACTCATTGCCATTGAGTCCATTATGACTCATGACGACCCTCCTGGGCAGAGCAGAACTGCCTGTGGGTTTCTGGGATGGTACTTCTTTTTTTTTTTTTAATCATTCTATTGAGTGCTCATACAACTCATCACAATCCATCCATCCATCCACCGTGTCCAGCACATGTGTACATCTGTTTCCATCATCATTCTCAAAACATTTTCTTTCTCCTTGAGCCCTTGATATCAACTCCTCATTTTTTCCTGTACTTTTTTGCAGGATTAGAAAGCCCTGTCTTTCGCCTGCAGAGCGGCTAGTGGTTTCAAACTGTTGACTTTGAGGTTAGCAGCCCAATGTGCAACCACTATACTACCAGAGCCCCATTTCAATCATTCCAGATACCCTCCCCCCTCAAATTACTTCCAGATATCCATGGGTGTACTTGAATGTAAGTATATATTTTTATCAATTCTATTTTTTACCTGAACACTAGCATACCTATATTACACATGCATATATATATATGATACATACTATTCTATGATCATAATATTCTTCCCCCTTGCTTTTTGCCTTAGAACCTAAATTTTGAGCACTGGAGTTGCAGGCCACAATCCATTAATAGTCCCCACCTGGATAAGCCTCCAATGAATTCTTTCTGACCATTAACCAGGAATGTGAGCCGTCTTGTCCTCAGGGAGAGTAAATTAGAAAGTGGATTGCCACTCCTGACCCCGCAGCTTGACTAGGTGTGACCTTGACAGAGATTGCCACATTGGGGCCACATACTCAGGAGTCATGCCCTGACTTGCCTTGGTCAGAAGGACCAAGCTCTGTAAACTCTTCTGTCCAGCATACAGTCCCAGTCACATTCACGGCCTCATTCTCAGTTCTACCTTCCTGCTGCAACGGTGAGGTCACCAATCATGCTTCCGACAGTTTCCTTTGTTCTCTCATGTCCTGGGTAAGCCTCCAATTCTCTGTAAACCTTAGAGTACCATGACAAACTTATGCTAATTGTCTCCCTCGGGCAGATACCATGACTTTGTCCCATCTTTTCTTATCAAAGAATTAATAAATGTTCTCCTAAGATTTTATTTGAGATTTGGGGCCTCTTTTGAATCTTAACCTACAGTTTACAGGCAGAGCCTCAAATCCATTTTAGAGTCTCCTCAAGTAGATCCAGCCTCAATTTAGCTCTTTCTGACCATTGACCAGCAAAGTGAAAAGCTTTGCTCTCAGGCCGAGTGCATCGGGAGCCCAAGGAGGGGCAGCCTCCCCCTCAGGGACTTGTGTGTGCCTGGATGGAAACTGGGGACTAGGGTCACAGTCAGGAGTCATACTCTGCCTTGGTCAGAAGGTCCTGAACCAATCTTGTAAGCTTTTCTGTCTGCAATAGCGTATATATCATGCCCCCTTTCTACTTTTGTAGTCCTGCCAATAACTGCTGATGAATTGACCTGCAGTCAATCATGATTGTTTGACATTTCCTTTCTTTTTCCTTGCTCTATTTAAGTGGCTGCATTCTGTGAATTCTAGGACACCATAGTGCAGTGGTTCTCAGCCTTCCTAATGCTGCGACCCTTTCATACAGTTTCTCATGTTGTGGTGACCCCCCAACCATAAAATTATTTTTGTTGCTACTTCATAATTGTCATTTTGCTACTGTTATGAATCATAATGTAAATATCTGATATGCAGCACATATTTTCATTCTTATAAATTGAACATAATTAAAGCACAGTGATAAATCACAAAACAACATGTAATTATATGCTGTAAAATATTTATGTGTTTTCCGATGGTCTTGGGCTACCCCTGTGAAAGGGTCCTTTGACCCCCCAAAGGGGTCACGACCCATAGGTTGAGAACTGCTGCCACAGTGGCCTCCTGGTCATGGTCTTCCTCCTCTGGACAATTGCCTTTGTCCTTGGCAAGACTTAATAAATAAATGCGCCTCTGTAAGTTATATTTGAATTTGGGGTCTTTTTTCTCCCTTAGGACATTTTTCACTTATCAAAATATATGCGAGAGAGTTTTCCACATCATGACTGAATGTTTTTGACTGCACAACATTCTATTATATGGATGACAATGCCAAAGTTGTTTGTTTTTTAAACAGTCCGTTGTTGATGCAACATTGAGTTGTTTCATCTTTGGCCATTTCAAAAAAAGTGGTGCGAAGAATGAACTTGCATAAATGTCATTTCACGTACAGCTGTGCCTGCAGGAAGAAACCTCCACCAGGGGAGCTGTGGATCAGAGGACATGTATTTGTCATTTTGTTAGACTGCTCTTGAGAGAGGTTGGACTATTTTGCAAGGACAGTCTTGGCTCATGCTTTATGTGAGGTTCTTGCCTCTGCTTTGCTGTGATTCAGCAGTTGGTTAAATGAGGTTGCCTGGGGGCATGAACGATTTCTTGAAGTAAAGGGCTACCAAAGCACTTTGACGAGATCATCTGGCCGGCCTTTTTAGGACAACTGTGTCTCCAGAGCTATTCCAGTTGACAGAGGACTTTTTAATGGAGTTCTCATTAAGGGGTACATTTACATGAATTAATTCCTTTCCCTATATAAACATTTTTTTCCCCCTCAGTGTCCTTTTTCCTTTCCTTGTTGAAATCATTGCATTTCAAAGTTGAGAGTATAGGGTTTATCTAAATCAGCAGTTCTCAACCTGTGGGTTGTGACCCCTTTGTGGGTCGAAAGACCTTTTCACAGGCGTCGTGTAATACCATCGGAAAACATGTTTCTGAGGAAAGAAAGCCCCCCTATCCGTGTATCTGTCCCTCTATCCGTCTCCAGGTGGGTCCGCCCATGTGCAGATGCGCCCACATACGAGTACCCCGAGTGAAGACTGTTAGCCATGGGAGGTAGTTAGTTTATTGTGCCAACTTGGCCGATAAACCCATGGGTTAATTGAAGGGCAGCAGAGAGATAAATGGCTCAATGAGCCTCACCTTTCTAGTTTCTAGTTCTTGGGTGTCTTGCTTTGTGATGGTCGGACCAGGGTGCAGCTGCCTTAACCAGTTCCCTGCTTCAGCTGGCAAGGCTCACTTCCTGCAAGACATCCCTAAGGTGAAGCCACATGGATCTCACCTGATGCACCCTTGGGTGCTGGAGCAGCCTTGTGGAGACCCCTGCCAGGACTGAAAAGCTTACACATTCACGGACTCGGCTTTCCTCCTGCAGTCGGCATCATTCCGTCTGTTTTGTGAGATGGAGGAGGACTTTGTGGATTGGTGTTGGACATATGGGTTAATAGGTTAATGTTGGACTTGTGGGCTTGGGCAGCACTGGGTTTGGATGTTTTTTTTGATGTGCACTTAACCTTTATACAAAATTCTCTCTTACACATGAGTTTCTGTGGATTTGTTTTTCTAAAGTACCCAGACCAACACACCATGCTTTAAGACAAAATTTCATTTATTTGTCATTAGAAATAAATATTTCACAATATGTAATTATATATTCTTTTTGTGATCCATCACTATGCTTTAATTATGTTGAATTTGTAACATGAAAATATATCCTGCATATGATATTTACATGACGATTCCTAACAGTAGCAAAATTACAGTTACGAAGTAGCAACGAAAATAATTTTATGGTTGGGGGGGGTCACCATAACATGAGCAACTGTATTAAAGGGTCGCAGCATTAGGAAGGTTGAGAACCACTGATCTAAACCAATGTGTTCCTCCCCCCACTCTCAATGTGCAGAAAGGAAACGGCCATCTAAAGAAGTCATGTGAGAGGCCCAAGATGGTTATCAAGTCCTTTCCGATGCCAATGTTGGAACACCGTGCTGTGTGACTCCTGTGGATTCAGTCCATCCATGTAGCTACTGTAGTGGTGCCATTGCTGGGGTGGCCTTGGCCTGGCCAGGGGGTCACAGCAGGCGGGTTCCCTGGCTCAAGCTGGGACCGGCTCTGATAGGCAAGGTGTACTCTAGAGGTATACGGCTGGGACCCCATCCATGCTGCTTCCCCTGCTTGACCTGTCCTGTTCCCTCTCTCCATCGCCAG